GTCGACGCCTACTTAGTAGCAACTAGACTTCTAAGATACTTAAATTCGTAGCTAGATTTTTAAATCTTAACGCTATATCCGTTACTAGAACTCCCGGTACTAGACTTAGGAATAGTATATAACTCTTCCGTCTTACTAATCCTAATAGTAATCCTTAGTTAACTTCTATAAGGCTATTTAGCTTCTCGGTAGGTCCTAGTATAATTATAGTATCCGACTATATCCTAGATACTCTTTACGTAAGCTATAGTTCGAATTCGAAACCTATTACGCCGTAGAAGGGCTCCTAGAACTTATAGGGCGTTAAGTTTACTAGACCTAGAAAATCTAATAGGTAGTCGTTTCTAATTATTAACCGTAAAGGCAATCGAGGCAATACGCTATATAGGGACCTAGGTAATCTTAAAACTTGATTAATAGAGTTAAAAAGTATATAAAGTTATACAGTATTAGTATAGGCTAGCGTATTAAGCCTACGTAGGAAATCTTACTAGAGACCCTTACTACTATATAGAATCGCGACTTTAGTAACCGCTCGCTACGTAATATAATACTAATATCTTCGCGATAGCGGCCTAGGAGAGTATAGGTATTAGGTTCCTCTTTGTATTTATTCCGGAAGCCGATAAGTAGTTATACGCTCGTATTAAATAATTTAGTAATATTAAATTTAGTATATATACTATCTACTCTCTAGGATCGAAGCTTTAGAAGCCTATTAGATAGGGCATATATGTTGGTAATCTAGTACTTAAGTTTAACGTAAAGGGTAGTAGCGTAGCGTACTATATACTAAATGCCTTTAGTAGTAAACTGCTTGATAACGAGATAATACTACTATTTAGTATTAATATTACCTACCCGTCGCTAGGCTCCTCGAAGGTACGCTATTAATAGCTACGCTTATTACTAGCGTTAATAAGTATGTACTCTAATAGCTAGGCTCGATCTATATATAGGATAGCCGCTAAGAAATAGCTAATAGGCTCGAAGAAACGGTAATTAAGCGTCTAAATTTGTAGTATAAGAAGAATAGCTCTCTACTAAACAAAGTTATTATTTACCGGAATAGCGTCTCGGAAGGCTAGTATAAACTAGTCCTATAGATAGAACTACCGTCTTTCGAAAAGGCCTTTACGAAGCTCTACGGTAGTAAGGAGAAGTAGCCGAAGATAACTATTATTATCGTTAGTAAGCGTTGTTATGCTCGATTCTGCCCGACTCGTAAGTAAGCTCTTTAGTTTTGTATTCGTAGAGATAATATACTTAATAATAACTATAGCCTTATATGCCCTTTTAATATAGTAGTACTAGCTCTAAGCCTACGGCGTTATTCGCCTTAGCTTTAGTTAACTACGGTATAATTACAACGGGGACGAAAACTATATATTATATCTACTAAGAAGTATAACGGGATACTATAAAAAATAGGGAAGCTAGGTAGCGGTACCTAAAGTGGTATAGAACTCGTACGAGTCGAGACTAGACCCCGTAGTAGTTTGGGTTAGTTTAGTTTAGTTTAGTTTGCTAAGCTAAAGATCTAGTTTAGTTTAGGTTAGTTTGCTAAGCAACTATAGGAGTAGCTAGTTCGAACTATAGAATTTATCGGTTTCTAAGAAGTATAAGAATGTGTACGTAACTCGAAGCAAGCCCTTTACAAGACACGAGAGTATAGCCGGCAGCGTAGCCGGCATTTTTTAGTTATAGGAAGGTACTTATATAACCCTAAATCTATAGATAATTAGCTAAGGGCACTAACTAATTAAGAGCATATATATATACAAGCTATTATAGTTTAGTTTAGAAACTACACTTATTAGGTATAAATTTCATCCTTTCGCTCGCTATTTGATTCCCTAACTACTCGGTAGAATATTATTATCTATATCTAGGTAGAACTTATCGATTTCCCTAGAAGCCCTCTTTAAGAAGTTCTAACACTTTCCTACTAAACTATTCTCTAATATTAAGTAATGGGATAGCTCTTCCCTCGGTATCGGTATAGTATATAAAAGAGCTATAAAATAGCTCTATACTACGTTCTACTAGTTACTCGCTATACTAAGGCCGAATACTAGTTCGTTCCTTAGAACTCTTAGTTATTTGGTAGATATAAAGGGTAGGGTAGGTAGTAACTTCGTATTATATAAGGATATAGAGGCTGCTATAGAGGAGTCCTTTAACCTATAGAAGATAGTAAAAGATATAGAGGCAGCTATAGGTCTAGGTATCTAGTTAAATTTCTAGTAGGTAGAGTATAAGGATATTTAGAGTAAGTATTAGGTAGAGTTGCGAAGGCAGGTATATAATATAGTCTAGAAAACAGGGATAATGCCTATAACTATAAGTATTAGGCTCTTTAACCTTCCTTCTTTTTCCCTATTTTCTTTTTATAAAAATATAAACTAATACAAATTAACTAAAATATCTATCTTCTTCTAGTTCTTTAAAAGACCTATTAGCGTAGCCGGTAGCGTAGCCGGCGTTTTTACTCCTTAGTACTAACGGGATTTTTAAAGACTTCTATTCCGTACGGCTAATAAAGTATACTATACTATATATATATTATATATATATATATATATATATATATATATATATATATATATACTTAGGGAGTATTTAGAGCGCGGTATATAGCGCCGTATAACAGCGGCTTATTTCGTATATAGAAAACGCTTATAGATAACACTAAGAACATTCTTCCTACTATAATATCTATCCTACCTAGTAGTACTATTTCGAATATAGACATTCTAGCCTTTTAGAATCTAATTGAGGGCTTTAAAATCTTATCTATAATCGTAATACGCTTCGCGTAGATAGCTATAAGGACAATAGCTAAAATAGTATTAGTATAGTTCGAAAAGAGGTAGAAGAGAAATATATATTCGTAGATACAAATAAGGTAGGCTTCTAAAGCCTCTTAAAGGGTATCTATTATAGAGGCTTAGAAGCGAAGGTCCTATATAATATACTAGGCAATTTTACGAATAAGTCGTTAGAAAGGAGCTTTACGGATTAGGAGTTTAGTATCCTTCTAATATATCCGAATCTAACGAAGGGCTACGGCTAAAGAAGGATTAGTAAAAGAATAGTAAGAATGCCGGCTACGCTACCGGCTACGCTACCGGCTATAGATAGGACTTACTTCCTAGGCGCTATCGACGCTTCGTACGATTATTGCTACTAGTAGTAGAAGCGCTAGTCGTCGTCTTGCCTAGAGCCTTATCTGCCGTCGTCTTACGCGGAGCCTTACTCGCGACGCTCTTTCTAGTACTAGAGCTAGCGGTAGTAGTAGTAGCCTTCTTGCGTTAATATACTATACTCGTTCTACTACTTCCGGTCTTATTATAACCCGTAGAAGTAGTAGGTCCCTTCGTACGAGTCGTTATAACTTAGTTAAGTAGACTCGGTATTATAAAAGTCGTCGAATTAATAAAGAAAGTACGTTACGAAGGTATACGAAGGCGCGCGCGGAGCGAGGATATTAGTACGGAGGTAGTAGATACAGAGCGTAGAGATATAGGTATCGATACGAAGGTTAAATATAGCGAGAGAGGTAGTATCGCGGTATCGCTAGGTAATAGAGTAAGCGTCGCGCAAGCCTATATTATAGTAACGTTAGAGCAAGAAAAGAAGTTAGATACGGCTAAAAAAGGCAGGTACGGCAAACTTTGAAATATAGCCGGTAGATATAGCCGGTATAGTAATAGGCAAAAGCCTCCTTTTAATAAATACTCGGCGTAATAATAGTATCCTACTATAGTATAGATATTCTTTAGTAATTCCCTTACTAGCTATAGTAATCTTATAAATAACCTAGGCCTATTACTAGGAAATATAAGAAATGTTAGGTAGGCTATACTAAACAAGCTAGTTATTTAGTAGGAAAAGGCCTACTACTATCTCTATATACCGGCTACGAGTGCCGGCTATCGCTCTAAATTTAACTCCGCCCTATCTCGGAGGCTAAGGTACCGAGCGGAAACCCTATAGCTTATATTTAATCGGTTATCGCGGAGCGCTTATAGGTAAGGCATCAGAAAAGAGTATAAAAAGTACAAGAAGAGTATCCTAGGATATAGGTCGTAAGTAAATAAGAGTCGCACGCCTAGTTATTTATATAGTACGTTACTCTATACGACCTAGAGCCTATATTATCTCGTACTTCGCTTATAAGACCTCGACTCTACTAGTATACTATCGATCTCTTAAATCTTCCTTAGTCGCTATCTTAATTCTTCTTCGAGTTGCCGGACTTAGTACGTATCTGTCGCTATATAATAGCGCTACGTATTATAGAGAATCTCTTATTAAAATTTCTCTCTCGTAGGCTTACTATCTGCCTCGTAGTATAGAGGATTAAAGTGCTAATACTAAAGAATCTCTTTATAGTTAGTATATTAGGGCTCCTTAGGACCTTTATATTTTAGGTCTAAATAGAGACGTATTATAAACGTTCTATCGCCCTTTCGCTAACTATCTACTCGGTCGCGATATACGAAGAAACCAATTTAAATATAGCTCGTCTCTATAATAGCCGAGTAAATATAGGGCGCTAGGTTTCTACTTCGTACCTTATATCTAGGTATAACGCGGGAATAAAACTAGGAGTATAGCCGGTATATATAGCTAGTAAAAGGATGCGAAAATAGGCCTCCTCCTAGGTTAATCTAACGACTAAATACAAAGTCTAACTAATCCGCTATAAACCGACGCCGAATTTTAGCTAGAAGCTATATATCTTTATCTTAAAGAGTACCCCGCTTCGTATAAATAGCAAGGAGGTTATAAAGCTTAAATTCGGTTATAAGAAATGCCTCCGTAGCTTCCTAAAGAGCATTAATCGCCTTAGCCGTAAATCGTATACTAGACTAAAAATCTAATATAATTTCTCGGACGAGTCGCTAGAAGAGAGTCTTAGGGATTAAAAACTCGGTCCCTCTTTTGTCTTAGAATAGCCGGATCTAGCGAAGGGTAATAGTACCTAGTTTAAAGTACTACTTCTTTATTGTCGAGTCCTACCTTATACCCTTTTTTTTAATAGAAGAATAACTTTTCTTTACGATAGTCTTCGTATACCTACTCCTTTTAGCCTTCTCTTATCTATCTAAGGCCTTCTTGTTTTTTAGTACTGTTTTCCGAGGAACCCCCTTCCCTTATATATACTACGGAGAGTCTTACTCTTCCGATATCTCGTTCTCGCTACGGTCTCCCTATACTTAGCTTGCTTTAACCTTGCCCTTTAGGCTCTAAAGGTATCTTTATATGCGCTTAGACGACGAAGGTATATCGCTAGAACCTAGAAAATTAATAAGCCTATAATCGTAAAGAGATATTCTATAACACTTCCTAGTAAGGATACGGACTATCCTAATTACGAATCTAACGATAACCGACTAGGACGGTTTAATAGAAGACTATTTAGTCTAGAGTATAAGAAGTATAAATATCTCTTTACAATTATAGGCTTATTAATTTTTCTAGGTCTTAGCGATATACCTTCGTCGCCCGAACGTATATAAAGATACCTTTAGAACTTAGAATAGAGTACGAGTAAAGTAAGCTAAGTATAGGAAGACCGTAGCGAGAACGAAATATCGGAAGAGGAATACTATATATAGTATATATAAGGGAAGGGGGTTACTCGGAAAACAGTACTACGAAATAAGAATACTTTAGGTAGATATAAGAAGGATAGAGTAGCTAAAAAGGTAGACAGACGAAGACTATTACGAAGAAAAGCTATTCTTCTATAAAAAAGGGTAAAAGGTAGGTTTAGACGATAAAGAAGCGGCGCCTTAAACCGGATACTATTACCCTTCGCGAGATCCGGCTATTCTAAGATAAAAGGTAGACCGAGCTTTTAATCTCTACAACTCCCTTCTAGCGACTCGTCTAAGTAATTATATTAGATTTTAAGTCTAGTATATAATTTACGGCTATAGCGATTAGTAATCTCTCGAAAGCTACGAAGGTATCCGGGGTTTCGTTAGTTATACTTTATCCCGTAGTCGCGGGGATTTCAACTATATATAGAATCGCACTTTCTTAGTAGGCTATACGTAAACCTCGATATAATCGTATATTCTAGTCCTATTCGGATATCTAGGTAGGTATAGTAAGGAACCGCGAGTCTAAATATTATATATATAGCCTTATCCGAGTATATTATAGCTATAGACTTTACTACCGCCGTTTTCTTATATAATCCTTAGCAAGCTAGTCTACCTTATTCTAAGGCGCGTATTCTTCGTATTCTTTCTTTCTAGTATACAAAGAGTATAGAAAACTCGGTATAGGGCGTAAAAAGGGCGAAAATATAAAGAGGGTACGTACTAAGCGGTTAACTAAGGTAGAGAGGGCGGAGAGGGTAGTAGATTACATAATAGATATATAGGCCGATATATAAAGTAATCGATTATATAGTAGACTAGAGTTTTGCTAAGAGGCCGGATTAAGGTCCTTAGTCGCAATTTACTAGTTACTAATATAGCGGAAATCTACTGTTTCTTATCTCTTATCGTACTTATATTTAGTTTCCTATTATATTTACTCTATAATAGTGCTATCGTCGACTTTTACGTATAGCCTACTAAGAAAGTGCGACTTTACGTATAGTTTAAATCCCCGAACGTAGGCGAGGGGTAAAGTAGACTAACGCAACCCTAGATATTTCTTATAACCGAGTTTAAGCTTTCTAACCTCCTTACTATCTATACGAAGCGGGTTGCTCTTTAATATAAAAATATATAGCTTCTAGCTAAGATTCGGCGTCGGTTTATAGCGGATTAATTAGGATTTGTATTTAGTCGTTATATTAACCTAGGACGAGGCATATTTTCGCATCCTTTTACTAGCTATATATACCGGCTATACTCCTAGTTTTATTCCCGCGTTATACCTAGATATAAGGTACGAAGTAGAAACCTAGCGCCTTATATTTACTCGATTATTACGGAGACGAGCTATATTTAGACTAGTTTCTTTCTATATCCCGGCTTGCCTTAATAGTATTCGTAGTTTAACTATACTAAGAAGTAGAAGTATATATAACTAAAGAAGAAGAGAGATCGTTATACGATCTAGGTATTATCGCTTACCGCTACTCGTATAGCTAGGATAACTAGGGAGGAGATCGATAGTATAAGTTAGTAGAGTCTAGCGACGACTCTACCTACGAGTCTAACGAAGAAGAACGTATAGCCCGTATAAGAGATTCTAAGATATATAGAAGCCTCGTCCTAAGATACTACCTCTACCTCCCTACTATACTTACCCGGTCGTATATAATATAGTCTTATAAGCGAAGTACGAGATAATATAGGCTTATAGTCGTTTATAGTAACGTACTATATAAATAACTAGGCGTACTACTATTATTTACTAACGACCTATATCCTAGGATGCTCTTCTCGTATATTTTATATACTTTTTTAATATCTTACTTATAAGCGCTCCGCGATAACCGAGTAGATATAAGGTATAGGGGTTCTACTCGGTACCTTAGCCTTCGAGATAGGGGGGAGTTAAATCTAGAGGCATAGTCGGCACTCGGAGCCGGCATATAGAGACGGTAGTAGGCCTATTCCTACTAAATAGCTAATTTATTTAGTATAGCCTACCGTAGTATAGATATTTATTATATTTCCTAGTAATAGAGTTAGGTTACTTATAAGATTACTATAGCTAGTACCTCTAGCCGGGTCTTTATACTAGATAGTTAGACTATATACAGTAGTACTACTACTATTAAAGTAGTAACTGCGGAAGATATCTAGGTAGAATTTCCTACTAAATTTTACTACCTCTTTTAGAACTATACTAATACTATTTTAGCTATTGTCCTTATAGCTATCTACGTAAATCGCGTTACGACTATAGGTAAGGATTTTAAAGCCCTAGATTAGATTCTTAAGGGTTAGAATATCTAAATTCGAGATAGTAGTAGGTAGGATAGATATTCTAGTAGGATAGATATTCTTAGTATCCTCTATAAGCGTTTCTATATACAAAATATGCCGCTATTATACGGCGCTATATAGCGCGCGATAAATACTCTCTAAGTATATATATAGTATATTATGCTTTATTAGACGTCCGAAATAAAAGTCTTCGAAAATTCTATTAGTACTAGTCTTAAAAAGGGCTTGCTTTAAGTTACGTATATATTCCTATACTTGTTAGAAACCGACTAATTCTATAGTTCTAACCTGCTACTCGTATAGTTGCTTAGCAAACTAACTTAAACTAACCTAGAATTTCGGCTTAGTAAACTAAACCAAACTAACCCGACCTACTATAGGGTATAGCAATGCTAGTACGCTAACCTACGATAGTATATAATACTATCTTAGGCCGACTATAGTAAACGTTTATAGTACTACTTAGGGTTGCCTAGTTAGCGGTAGCTAAATATTTTAGTTATAGTAAAACATACTTCTCTAGATACTATCGATATACTACTCGTCTACGCCGCGGACTATAGTAATAGCACGAGCCTTACTAGCGTCCTAGTCTAATATACTACAATTCGGAAATATAATATAGTCGGCGACCTTAGTATTAGCTAGAATTAGATCGTATAGCAGGTATACAAACTAGTCTTCTAGATATATACGATCGAGTAGCAAATCCTTATTATTAAACTAACCTATAAAATCGAAATAGGCACTAGTAGTAGTGCGATTGCTACCGACTTTAAAGTAGTAGATATAAGTACTATTACCCTTCCCGGCCTACTAGTATAGAAAGCCGATTATCTCTAGGTTATAGCCTATACTGTCCTATTTAGTATAGGCGAGCGGGTAGGTAATACCTAGCTAAAGCACCTATATCTATACGATTAGCTATATATCTAGCTTGCTACGTTAAAAGTATAGCATAGTATTAGAGCAATTCGATACTAGTTAGAAACATACCTCGCCGACCTTAGTATACTAAACTAAAAAAGCGGGTTACTAGTAGATCCGTAGACTATACCCGATAGAATAGCACTATTAGCCGGAAAGCGGGTAAGTAGCGTATTATCTCCCGAGTAATACGAGACCCGATACTAGGCTACGCTAGAGATTAAGATATAGTTTAATATTAGTTAGTCGGTATATAGGCCTATACGGTAGTATATATATATATATATATATATATATATATATATATATATATATAAAAATCAAAATAGGGTAGTATTAAACTAGAGTACTACTACTTCTATACGTTTATATAATTCAATATATATAACGTATTCGATAGAACAGTATATAGGCCTTAGGGCATTATAAGATACGTACTAGCGCTAGTATATAGCTAACTTAAAAAGAATACCTAAACCTACTTTTTAAAGACTATACCTTTATTCTATTAACAGTAGGGGATAATAACGCCCTACTGCTATAGCTAAAGACTAGAGAATAGGTATAGTACTAGTAGTAGCATCTGTCCTATATAAAAAACCAGCCTACTAGTAACGCTATAGTATAATATCGATCGGTATCTCTATGTCTTTTAGACTAAAACTAGCAGTTATAAAATTCTAGGTATCTATACTAAAAAGGACCTACCCGCTATATACTAGTTTTAATTATTTTGATCTAGGTAACTTTACTAATATGGCCCCTATTATTTCAAACTTTCTATACTAATTCGTCTAAACTGTAGCTTCTACTACCTATAAATCCTAGTATATATATAATTATTGTTAGTTTCTAGCTGTTAGTACTTATTAGTACTAGTATAGCTTATATTATTCTTAGGATATAACCGCTAGCCTTTCGTTATCCCCCTTGTTTTTTAGTTAAGCTACCTTTGTTAGACTCTAGAAGCCTCGAAAGCAGTTACGATATTGTAAAGGGCGACCTATAGCTATAGCACGGCGCATATAGGAAGTTACGAGTGCGGAGAAGATTTGGCTGTAGTTAGATTTCAAGTCTAACTATAGCCGGGGCTTTTAACTAGTAGCTAGTTCTATGCTTATATACGTGCCTATATAGGCAATAATTATCCTATGTTTATCCTATGCCCGTGCCTATGCCTATATCTATGCCCTTATCCTATAAGGATGACGACGTTATAGTTCTTAGTGTAGTTGCAGGTATCGGCACTAAGGTTATAGTCTGTTATAGGCGTTAGTATAGGCATTGCTATAGCTAAAGCTCTAGACTTACTCTTCTTAGCCTTCTTAGCCTAGCAACCTAGGCAAGGCACTATAGCCTCGGGGAACTCGGCACGGAACTCGCGGTTGGCCTTAGTTAGATCAATCTATATAGGCGTTAGTATAGGCAAAGGTATGTACGTAACTATTTATACCTTGCCGTGCTTGCCGCGCCGGACGACGAAGGGCCTATTTAAGTTAGCATATAACTAGCGGTATAGGCATAGATCGGTATATATATCTCGCTATTACTCTTAGACTTAGACTTAGTCTCTAAGTCTTCGATTGTCTCGGTAGATTTGGCCGGTGCTTTGCCTTTAGCTTTGCCCTTGCTCGGTATACCTAGGGCGTCGGGGCTGTATACGGATTAGTATAGGCAAAGGTAAGGGTAAAGATGTAGCTATACTTAACCTCGTATAGATCCTAGGTATTATCGAAGAAATCTAAGGGACATATTAGTAAGAAGCTTTGCCTATAGAGCTGCCTAAACCTACTAATGCACTTTTTTGTCTTAGTCTTAGGCGTATACCGACTACTACGGTCCTTCTCCTTAGGCTACTCGACTTTTCCCTTATACTATATATGCGTTAGTATAGGCAAAGCTCTAGGTAGGGAGCTACGTACACTATAGATAATGTATATAGCGAGAGCCGAAGTGTCGCGGTAGATAGTCTATAAGGTATTAGCTTTAGGTATACGTATAGGCAAAGACAGAGTTATATACTATAGAAGCCCTTCTCTTCGTACAACTCCTTTAGTATCTCTTCGTTTTCGTCTTTTCTATTATAGTATTAGCAATAACTAGTAATATAGGCATAATACTATATATACCTATCGCGATTCTTCTAAGCAGCTAGGAAGCGACCGAAGTTCTTAGATCCTACTAGCATGCGATAAGTTACCTTACCTATATAGGTGCGTACGGCCTCCTAGTTAGTCTTTAGGCAGATCTATAGGCATTAGTTTAGCCTATTGCATAGGTAGAAGAGAGATTATATACTACGATTTCTATCTTAGGTATATTAAATAACTCGCCCTATAAAAGGCGCTTCTTGTATTTGCGGTAGGAGCTCTATATAGGCATAAGTATAGGTAGGTGTATGCCCTAGTCTCTATACTTATAGATTGCTCTAGTAGGGTATTATTCTAGGTAACGGTCTTAATGTCTTGCGGCATATTAGGAGGTATATATAGAGCTATAGGCTTAGGTATAGTAGTATAGGGGAACTCGGTTAGCTACGATATCGAAGTCGCCTTATTAGCTCGTCGCGTATGTATATAGGTATATATAAAGGAATAGGGGTAGGGGCTAGGGGTAGATACGTACTAGTAGTATATTATAGAAAGAAAGGGAGAGAGTGTACGCGCAAAGATACGCGCATAGATATCGCGTAACGCTTAGCGTAATAGAAGATCCTAGCGTAATGAAACTTTCGCGTACGGGACGTACCCGCTTTAGCGTCTACGGATCCCTACATCGATAGTCAACTCCGCGTTTAGCGTGGTCAAGCGCACTTGTCTCACGCCAGGACAGGGGAGGGCAGGGAAGGAGGCCTGAGGCAAGGAATCAAGACATCCTGAAACATGGCAGGCAACAACAACAACAAGATATACACTTCACCGTTCAGTATTCGATCAATTCAGCTTGTGAGTAATAGCAATCATGTCTTCCAAACACACTCGTTACGATCAGTTCAATTGGGAGACTGAATTCATGGATCTGGAAGGCGTCTGCCGGCAAATTAGTAAGACAGCTTCGCCCTAGCAGAGTTCCAACTTTGTGCTAACACGAGCCTCAACCTCAGTCACCAACGCGGAAGTCCTCTTCCCGAGACAGATCGACCTTCGCGTCATTACTGGAAAAGCTGGCAAGGGCTTTCACTATGCGGCCTTAATGGCCCGAGATACCAGTAGCCCGGACATCAATGTCCAAGACATAGGCTACAAAATTCTGGCCCAAGGACCACCCGAATCTAGTCGCAGGGCAAGCGTAATGAAACTGCTGGACGATGTCGAGAAACGTGTCGCGAAGGATGTAATGGATATCTGACCAAGCAACACTACCTGCATCTATACTGTACGAATCACGAAATAGAGCGATATGTTTTGCGTGTCAGAATAATGGTCTGAAGTCTGACTGCCCCGAAGTTTCTAGTTTGGTCGATTTTATGTAAGGCGTACGGACGTAGCTAATGTGGCTGAAAGGAAGAACGCCTGTATCAAGGCAACGAGCGGGAAGTATGTCTTGAAAACCTAATATGCGGACTTGTTTTATACCTGAAGACTGAAGATATCGGGTCGAAATCAGGCCAGAATCCAGATTTCAAACCATTCTTTCTAGCGTGATATTGGTGCTGGATCAAACATTGATATCACCATCTTCCTGACCATCTGAGTGCAAAAGGAACCCAAATACCTATGCCTCCAATACCCACAACAGCAGTAATCATAAACCGCACATCCTTTCCAAGAAACTCACACAACTTCTTCCACCCATCACCCGGCTTGACCACCAACAACCTTCCCTTAGACACAATTTCCTTAATTTTCGCATTATGTTTCAAATACCATTCCTTCTGCCTTTCCCTCTCATTCCCTCCACTCGCATCAAAAGCCACATTCTTAAAACATGAAAATCATATTCTCGCCCTCTGGGTGGTACCCAAAAAAACCACCTCCGAGAATTCCAAAATCGCCAACTTTTGCCTACAGTTGCATCGTAGGATTCAAACCAAGAATTTTCATCTCGTTCTGTTAATATGATCTTGGCATCTGGGAATGCGGCGATGAGTTCTTCAGCCATCAAAGCGCAGTGCCGTCCTGTGATTGCTTCGTATCTCCCGATGAATTTGTTGAAGTCGGAGGGTAGGAGAACAAGTTCTTCCAATGCCGTTATAATTTGCGTTGAAGGCCTTGGTCCAGTATGGGTAGAGGTTGTCGACGAAGTGGTTGTGGTCTAATGCATTGGCTGTTTTGTAGCCGAGTTCTTGGAGAGCCACGGCAAGCGAGGATGTGGATGTGCGGGCTGTGCCGACGACGATCACCTTCAGCTGTTTGGATTCGAGGTCTGAGGGTGAGGGAGGGAGTCAACTTGGCGCGACATGTTTCATTGGACATCATCAATTCGTAAAGTTGGGTGGGAACTTGCCATCTTGATTTCTACGTTCAATTGTAACCCCATCGGATAGGTTCATGCTCCTACTGCAAGACCGAAGGATCACCAATGGTGACCTCGAACGAATCCGAAAGTCTATATGTCCTTGCCATCTGTCGGTTTGCTTGAGACGCTCAGAATCCGAGAAATGTAATTATCTGGTCTCGTATCGTAAGCGGCTCACTGCTAATCTGGCTCATGGCTGGCCTTTCGACATAGTGAAAGTCGAATGCTTGGAAAGATCATTAGCTCTCGAGTAAGCCAGCTGTGAAGGTAGTCTGTGAGACTGTGCCAGAACTCAACAGTTTCCCGTTCTGTCCTGGATCTCACGTCGAGTTTATGGTCAGGAATTCGTCAGCAAGAGTCCGCGAGTCGTAAGATCCCGGCCTACTGCTCGGCAGCGCAAGCTCGTTCGTGAGAGGAAAGATGCGTTATAGAGGATAGCGGTATGTGTACGGCGTCGAAGGTTCTTCGCGTTTTCGTCATTTGTTCTAGCTGCTGTCTAGGCATGCGTCAAGCTTCGAAGACTCCTGCAGTTGGGTAATGCCTGGCTGCTTGTATTGCAGAACAGGGCCGAGATTCGTCCTCGCGGCCGATTCCGAATGGATGAGAAGTGTCGGCCGCGATTCTGTGGACCGATATCTCGGCGCTGTCGCGGTGCCTTTCGATTCTCACACGAAAGGTCCACTCATGCCTGTCTATCTGGATCAGAAGACCGGCATCTGAAGAATCTCGACATGATCGTCTTTGGGAGCAGGTCCAAAGCGACGCCGCCGGCCGGCTCGTCGAAGGACATTGAAGACGAAAAGAGTCCAAGGTTCTCTGCCGCGACATGACGTTGGACAAGATCGCCAGCCCGTGCAGAGGCTCGGCGGCAGGCTGCGTCTACTGCCGGAGCCTTTCCCATAACAGCAGTGCAAGCGAGGTTCTTGCAGGGATGCAATCAAAGTTCTGCTCGAGTCTTTCACACCATGATCCACAACACATGTCAGTCATGTCAGTGCATGTCGTCAGATTTCGCTCGACTTCAGCGCAAAGTTGCTCAGCAACTGCAGCACCAACCGCTGACTGGATCAGACGGGAATAGTGTCGAGGAACATACCGAAAATCACCCCTCGCACAAACGCGTTCGTGATGCTCCTTCTTCAACGGCCTGCCAGTCGTGGTGTGGCATTCACGTCACGCTTCAGCTCATCGTCTCGGGAAGATGCACACTCGATCAAACCGTGTGACATTTTCTGCTCTGACCCACATCGACCACATGCGAGAGACCCATATATCAACATCAGAACAGGGAAGAAGCTGGCCTGAACACAACATTCAACGGCACGTCCACATCGCAGACAGCAAGCTCTGCATCCCACCAGACCTTCACTCGCATCGGGGGCTTGCCACGGGCCTCCAGCTAACAGGCCCCGCGACTCCAAGCGTCGTTGGTGGTCGTTTTGAGCGGAACTCTGGAGTCGGAATAAAAGGAGGGTGAAAGTCCTGCACGTTTATCACCGACGCCATCGACTACTTCTACGGCTTCGTGTTCGCCGGATGCTGTGCTGCTCTCGTGGCCATCGTCTTTTTCTTCATGATCGAGACCAAGGACCGCTCTCTCGAGGAGATCGACACCATGTACGTCCTCGGAGTCAACCCAATCACTTCCGCAAAGTGGGATGGTAGCAAGCTGCCTGTGTCCGCGGATACCAGCGTCCGCAACAGCAGTGATGCTGCATATGCCGAGAGGAATGCTTCTGTGGCCAGCAAGGCTCCGACTGAGACTTTGGAGGAATAGAAAATGAACAAAATATTTTAGGTTAGCACTAGGGTCCACTAATGTGAAACGCATCGCAATGAGATGGAATGTTATGAGCTTCAAAGCCCTCCTTTCGTGACTCAGACTCGCCTTTCCAGGTTCATATGACCTCTCCAGCCAACTTCCAAGAAAAACTACTCTATGTTCTCGTACCGTTCCCCTAAAAAGGAAAGAAAAAAATAGTGACAAACGATTAAGAAAAGAGCAGTGTTACATGCGTGCCACGAAAGTCGTGCATTATATTCATATCTATTATCGCGACCCATAGGCCCATAGTATACCATCTCGTCGTCAGTCATAGTCCATATCCAATGAGCGGCTGATATCTAAGCATCGCCCATGTCCATACCGTTACCCTCCGAGAATCCAGCAAATTCACTACTCAGGATTTCATCTAAACCCTTCCAGTCCATGTCTCTGCCTGGAGTTGTGAAAGTTGGCAAATCACTGAAGTCGAATTGCCTGTTCGGGCTAGTGAAAGTAGCTGGGTCGCTCAAACCGTTGGTTGAATCGTTGAGCATTTGTGCAATGTGTCTGGAAAAGGGCGACACCTCATTGCTGCCTCCATTTCGTCCTTGGCTACTGCCACTCACACTGCGGCCACCTGGAGTGCGGTCGAGTCTGCTTGGAGTAGAGCGCAGGAAGTAGCGGGATGACGAGGGGGATGTCATGAAGTCGTTCATGCTCATGTCGGCACTATTTGCCGCGTTGGCGTTCGGAGTGAGGGGTTTGCGTTTGCGGCTGTTTTGCGTCGGTGTCTTCAGCAGATCCTCGAAATGCTGCTGCTTTCGTGATCGAGGCGTGTTCTTCGAAGGCGTCTTGCGCGCAGGAGTCTTGAAGACAGCGCTTGGCGAGCCTTCGAACAGATGCGAAAGATCGTCATTCTCATCGATCGGCGGCGCCATGTTCTCTTTGTCGTAGGTGAAGGCCTCAAAGACGTTGACATTAGTCTGCTCAGCGATCAAGACAACTTTCTCAGATTGCTTACCTCCCAAGCCTTTGCTTGGAGAAGGTGCAGACTGAGGGCGTGGAATGTCTTCGCCATTGAGCGTCTTCTCCTCACCTTCGCGACGGGGCGATGGGAACAGGAGACGTCTCGTGGGTTGCTCTGGCGTTACGTCAAGCTCAATCGGGCTATCTTGAGAGCCTTGAGGTCGGACTGGACTTGACTGGATGGCGCGCATAAACGCAGGGTCTCGATGTGGCCGGCGGACATTGCCATCATCACTGGTAGCTCGGCGCGACTGAACTTGCATGCTGTTCGCTCGTGGCCGAGCGCTGGGCGCTGCTTGTGGTTGGGGCACATCTGCAGCACCTTCCTTAGCATCATCTTCGGGCTCGTTTTCTTCGATGATGGCCTCTTCTGGAATGACCTGATCCGTCAAGAACGCCTCAGATCGAGGCTCAGGGCCATCTGTGAAGTCCTCTGCCCGCATCTTCTTCGACTTCCGGGATGCCGACTTTCGCTTCCACCTGTCCGGGGGGCGCATCGCTCGGAACTTGTTGAACCACAAACCACAAGGGTTGCAGACAACAGTGTCTTCAAAACCTACACCAGGTAGAAAGTTCTTGGTCTTTTTCATGCTTTTGCGAATCACAAATTTGGTAGATTCACCATCTTCGTCACGCTCCGTGACTTCGATGCCAATCGTCTCGCCTTCGCCTTCCACAGAATCTAGTCTGCCAGGCTTGCCGTCCACGTTCTTCACGTATAATTTTCGCCATGTTGGTGTTTCAATTGCTCCACAATGAGAGCAGAACATGGGCATCTCGCCGTTTGCGATCGACTGCTGAAGCTTCTTCTCGATCGCGATGCGACGTGGAGCACCCGAGCCTGACCGGCCTCCGCCACGTGGACGGCCCTCGGTATCACTGGGAGCAGGTGATCCGGCCTCTGAGTCATTTGTGGTAGTCCTGGATCGCTGCAGTGGTCCTCGCTTTTGCTTGGGCGGAGGTCTGGACGAGGCCTTTGGCTGTGGTACTTGTGGCGGCAAGGCTAAACTACCGCGTCTGGAGCCTTCAGCTTCTGGCATAGGCGTCTGGTCTTCGCCTGGAGACATTGCAGTGCTTGTGGTCATTGCTCGTGGTCTAGGCCGAGGTCAGTCTCGAATCCGCTATCAAGCTCACCGAAGAGCGCGCTGAAAAGCTCTTCATCACCGTTGAGAACATACCGTTGATGACCTGCAGAGTCCGGCAGTGGGTGGACATCGATGGGCAGGTCGTGAGGAACCTCGGAGGACATTCGATAAGCACTTGGCATATCTTCCACGGGAGATCCTTCGGTCTTAACGATGGATCCGTGCAGAGAATTGCGAGGTCGATAATGAGCAGCCATTTCCAGGTCTTCAGCATCCGGACTACGATTCTCGTCGTCTTCCAAACTCTCCATGATCGCACCGCTGTGAAATCCACGTTCGCTCATGTATCCACTATCAACCATGCGAGACGGGGGCAGTGTAGGCAGACCAGGACTACTAGGTTGGGGCATGTTGTAGCCTGGTACAATAGGAGGCGACGAAGGTATGTCCATGGGCGTTTCACCATTAGCACTATTTCCGGGAGAGCTGCCCTCAGGAGAAGTCATTGCATCCGACATTGGCTCCACGTCTGACATGAAATCAGACTCCGCGACGGAAGCTTGTCGAAGTGCGCTACGCACGGGCGCAGACGGCATTCTTTGAAAAGGTCTGGTTCGGTTTGGAACAGGTGTTGGGACGCGAGGTGGCGGTTCAAGGTCACTGCCAGGCGCAGAAGGCTTCTTGGCAATAGGACGAAACATATGCATCGATGAAGCAGTCGCGGCGGTAACGCGAAGATCGGATGACTTTGAGCCGAAAGAGGATTTGCCGCGCCAGTCAGCCTGGGTGACCTTGACTCGCTTGCGAGGCTGGCCATCTTCATTATAGAAGACCTCAGTCGGTGGCTGAGCTTGTTGTTGTTCGAAGGCCTGCTTTGGTGGCTGTCGTTGTGCGTGCGATGTGCCAGATTCACTTCTTACACTTCCACGTGAAACGGGCCGATTTTGTTCCGCAATTTCAGACGGATTTCCTGAGAAGCTCTGGTGACGTAATTCGTGATTCCGCTGGCTGGGTTTGGAAGTCATCATTGGGCTTCCAGCTCGGGTGCCTGGTGCGCTGTGAGACTGGGAAGAAAAGGCGGGGTTGTAAGAAAAGGTTGCGTTGTTCGGGGTCTCTGGGGCTCCCACAACTCCCGACTGCTGAAGCCCGCCGCTGACATGGCCACTATTTTCGGCGCCCATACCAAACATGGCTTCTAATGACTGTGCATCGTTGTTGCCATTCCCACTTGAAGATAGGAAGTCCATGTTGAAGTAGTCGTTCGTCTGCTGGTGAACTCTATTCTGATTATTCCAGGCGTTGGGGTCGAAACCAGACGAGGTAGCAGAACTAAGGCTACGCGTAGAATCGCTCCTCGTCAGCTCGGCGTGCGACGGCCTCGATATAGGCGTCAACTTGAACTTGACTTCAAGTGTCTCCTTGACTCCATTGTTGAAGAGAGCGATGTTTTTGCAGACTCGGCCAGTGATCATGGTCTTGTCGGCCTGAACATGAGGTGTGGAGGTAGACAGCAGCGATGAAAGTCGACCCTGGCCGACTACGGGCGCATCACACTCGCTGTAGTCGAAGGAGTAGACAGAAAAGTCGGCATTATCAAGCTGAGACAGGATCTCGGGTGAGGCGGTGACAATTGTCTGGATGCACTGCTGCAGCTCGATGACACCGACTTGAGATTGCTCATCGATGGCGACAGCAGGTATATTGAGAATATTTGGAAGTCGAGCTAGACACGTCGTCTGGTTTTCCTTATCAAAGGTGTAAAGGACCTTGACACGCATGGGACGCGTGGGTATGCTCGCGAAGTCTTCATCGTCCATTTTGCTCGAGGTTGATGTAACAGCGTAAGTTGTAACTGAAGAAGCGAAACGCTTTAGCCCTTCCCTTCGTTATCGGGCTGAGAGCTACGGGTGTGCGTGCTACAGCATACTGTGGTGATGGCGTGTGGTAGTCCAATACACGTTGATATGTGCAGAAGGTGCAAACGCGAGTCGGATCTCGTTCGAAAGCAGATGCGGAAGGCTGCGAATGGTCAGGTGACGCCGCGACGAGTCGAATGATATCAAATAGGCAAGAATTGCGTGCAGCGTGCAGAAGGAGGAGGCGGTGTCGGGTGTTGGACGTGGATGTCGTAGCGGAGAGGGAGAGGCAGAGGCAGATAGAGAGATCAAAGCCATAGCTTCAACGCGTCCAAGAACGCCAAGCAATCCCACGTCCCATGTCGCGCTACAGCCTACATGGCTGGGAGCACGTGCTGGATCTGCCGCAGTTTTGCCGAGTTGCATACCATGTCGCGAAAAGTGAAGTCCAAGTCCAGCCACAACGACATTAGCTCCATCGTAACAACACCATAAGCAGAGCAAATATGGCCGCTTCCGGAGCATCAGAAGCAAAGATCCAGTGAGTCCGGCTGTGCATATTACGATGAACTTGCGACAATTGCTGACATGTCAACAGAGAATTGCTGGGCAAGCCACGCGCTGAGCTCACGTATGTGTCTTGTCTATCCACCGCGCATTAGACGCTCATATGTGACGCATGAATACTGATTGTGATCGCAGAGAATACGAGATCTCCCTGCTCGAAACACACGAGTTCACCTCAGGCCCGCTCTCGCTCCTCCAGACCGCCGTCCGACAGCATACTCAAGTCCTCATTTCATGTCGCAACAACAGAAAATTGCTTTGCAGAGTCAAGGCCTTCGATCGACACTGCAATATGGTTTTGGAGAACGTGAAGGAGATGTGGACAGAGATTCCGCGCTTAGCAGATGGAAAGAAGGGACGACCAGTTAACAAGGACCGCTTCATCAGCAAGATGTTCCTCAGAGGCGACAGCGTCATCCTAGTGCTACTATCCTAGGCAACAGGGCGCAAAGAATTCTCGATGCTGCGTGGGCTTAATGGAAATATGGACGGGACACGATTGGGCGAGCCACCTCGCGGTGCGCTTTCCGCCCTGAGATGATGAGGAAGACCGCGCGGAACAATGGCGAAGAAGCGACACGACAGGAAACTGCAAAATCATGAGACCTCGGTACGGCGCTGATCATGTCAAACTACAGCCAGAAGGCTAATCGAAACCTCTTCCAGCACTAGCAGTGCAGATGCGACGAGCAAGATGACTCGATTACTGAAATAGCCGCTTCAAGACTGGCTAGCTATTTCGAAATTGTACTTGAATGCTAACCCATTCGCTAAAACTTTCCATCAAAATCCTTCACATAACCATAACTGATCACTTCAAAGCCTCTGCCAACCCGGAGAGGAACTCCGCGAGACCGTACGCACCTGGATCGGGCACCTCTTTGAAACCGCTTCCTCCAACGTAAACTGTGCGACCTAAGCTGGCCTCCATACCCTTGGTCTTTTCTGCGCCCTCATATGCTGCCTTCGCAGCTTGCTGGATATCATTTGTCGAATTCAGTTGTTCCACAAAGGGCGCCAGAGCATCAACCAGTGTTCGGTCACCAGGTTTTGCTGGCGTGTATTTCTCTAGTGCTCTGCTTGCCTCCTTGAGTGCGGCTGCCCAGATCTTGGCATCGGCCTTCTTACTACCGCCATTTCCTTGGAGTCGGATGCCGTACGCGAGGGAGTTCAAGTAGATGGCATATAATGCACCCGAAGTGCCATCCATTGTAGTCTCGACGATCGAAATGATCTCGTTCAGGAACAGGGCAGCATCGGACTGCCGGCTAATGTGGCCAAGTTTGGCCTTAATGCCTTCAGCACCGCGCTTCAGGCCAATGCCACAATCACCGTCGCCGACCACTGTATCGAAGCGCGTTACTTCCGGCTCTACCTTGATCAGGCGATCGAGAGCATGATCGAGGGCTTTGGTCGCTGCTACACCATCGATCTGGATATTCGAAGGGTTGTTTTCTGCCGTCTTGTCCCGGGCAAGCTCGCGAGTCTCAGATGGCGGCTTGTTCCAGGTCTTGCTGGTGATAGCCGCCGACCATCCGGCAGCTTCAGACGGAGCATCCAAGAGCTCGAGAAGAGATTGCTTGACACCCAAGTCTGACACTTTGAGCAGCGAGATCGAGAATCCGAGTCCGTTCAAGGAGGTCATGAACGTCCCAGAGATTGTCCTGACTGGCCTGATACCGTAGTCCTTTTCCAGCTGCGTCACGACCTCTGTGGTGATGCCGCCCATTTCCAGCACACTGACACCTCCCAAATTATTCACGAGGAGTACAGTCTGGTCCGAGCTGTTAATGTTCGAGAAAGCACGATCCTTATCCGATTGATCGAGCATGTATTTGAGCATTGTCTTGACAGTTGTAGGCAGATCCGCCTCTGCTCTTTCCGCGCCATCTTCATTATGGATACCCATTCCAAGCTCGACCTCGGTATCCTTCAAAGCTTCCTCTTCAACTTTGCGGCCAGGGACGTGGACGTGGGCCAGCGATGAACCCATGGAGACTGTGTTGTCTGCCACAATTTGGGCTGCCTTGTGCACTTCTTTCAAGCTCCCTCCCGCAGCAGCGAGAGCTCCCGCAATCTTATGAATCAGCACCGTGCCAGCGATACCTCTTCGTCCGACCTTTCCTCCCTTGGCTCTTCCAACTCCGGCATCGTCGCCCACCACTACCATCTCGCACTCAACACCAGCCGCCTTGGCCTTCTCAACAGCCATGCCGAAGTTGAGCACATCACCGGTATAGTTCATCACAACAACCAAAACACCCTTGCTGGTCTCTACCCTTTGTGATATACATCTTCGAACCTGCTCGGCAGAAGGCGATGCAAAGATTGTTCCAGCTACCGCACCACTCAGTACTCCAGGACCAACGAAAGCAGCGAAGGAAGGTTCGTGTCCTGAGCCACCACCTGAAATGACCGAAACCTGTGGTTCTGCCGCATCTGGACGAAGGTATATGACTTTGTTCTCTTCATCGAAAGCTGTATTCGGATTCGTGAGAGTTATAGAACGAAGAGCAGAAGTGACAAGGTGAGTTGGATCGTTGATGAAATGCTTGGACGCCATGGTGGTTACTATGTCAAGTCTGAGAAGGTGAGGAAGGACGAAACAGCAAAGCACCTTTCATTCATCGTTATCTGCTGACCCAGTTTCACCATTTCTACACGCTCTTGACAAGCGGGGCAGACACGCGGGGCGCAGGAACGAGCTCCACCGAACCATTGAGAAAGCCTCCGGGAATGGGACCGATGCAGGATAGAAACGATGTCGGAAGTGTTTCTCCATGCTTGATGCGCGCCGAATCTAATGGACTAACCGAGACGTCGAAATTCAAACTGCATCTCAAGATTGTGAGGTGAGAGCAGAATCTGGATTGCTGGGCGTCGGCCTTTGCAAGCCGAAGACGGAAAGTCGAAGCGCCACAAACTGGAAATTCGAGCCCCGCAGGTCTATGAGAAGACGCCCGAGTGACCCCCAATGTTGGCTCTGCACTCTCTCCCAATCAGCTCGTCTTGATGCGGATGCGATAGAGAAACTCACGAGCCAAGTAATACGGCTACAGTTGTACGCATCGCAAGCTACATCTCTCATGGCGACGGCAGTGGCCTGAACTTCTCCTGAGGTGCTTCGGAGAAGCTGTCCGGCCGCAAAGCTTATTTCTGCCGTTTCCCCAATTAACATCACTCAGCATGCACTGCGTTGATTGCAACCAATTCATCAATGAGCCTCAATATGAGCAGAAGGAGAGTAAGATGTGTATGTGGCTGTTCAATCTCGAAAGACCGGCAGGCAGCCGGATCTTCACAGATCTCCGCAATCCTTTGACAAGCTTGTTCTGACCGCAGCTGACATCATGACTTTCTCCCATGCCCATGCCAACAAGGGGTATCGATCCTTCACGTACAGGAGCCATCATGGATGTCACTCAAAGGTAAGCAGAATCAGAACAAAGGAACATCACCGACACGACATCTGAACTACCTCCACAAATTCACCACCATGGGCGTCGACCTCAGTACGGCTCGCTGGCTCGCGCCTGCCTCGTTCGTCTACGACTTCGCGGCCCAGCTATATGGCATTTTGTCATCACCAAGCATGAAAGATATCCATGACCGAAATCTATCATTCTTCAGTCCCCAACCACTGTTCGTTGCTGCATTCTTCTTTCCGCAGCAACTGTCTCAGCTTGCATGGCTTTACAAGCTCTGGACGCTGAAGCCCGAGAAGCCGAGGGAGAAGAAACAGCTTGACGAGTTTTTGAGATATATTCCGTATTATGTCTTGGGCAATGTTTGCATCGGGACTTGGTGAGTGAATATGAATGAAGATCTAATGTGCATCACTGCTGATCCTTCCCTAGGATGTTCTTCTGGAATAGTGAAAACCTCAAAGCGGCAGATGTCTTTGTCGTGATCAACACCATAGCACAACTCTTCTTCGTAGCAACTCAGCTGGGACCAATGGACACAAGAAATTCGGGAAGCGTCTTGACGCACATCGTTTCCAAGACGTTCGCTGGTCTCGGCGTGCTCGATATACTTCACAACACGAGTGTGGCGTTCTATAAGGATGAGATGCCAAGCACAATTCTCAAGGTTACCACTGGTCTAGGATTTGGAGCTGTGAGCGCAATGTCGGATTGGATCTTTGGCGGCTGTCTTGTTTACGACTTGATCGCCCTCTCGGTCGGGCAATTGCAGTACGATGCCAGCTGGAGCAAGTTGCTAGGTTTCTTTGCTGCTGGAAGTGCTGCGATCGTGGGTGTGAGGAACTACGTGAAGTAGGTGCACCCCATTTTGAAGCGCTTACGGCTGGCGGGTGTGCATTAGTTACTGCGTATCGATACTTATGAAGTTGAACGCAAACCGGAGACAAGTACATTGACTAACACTCAAGCACAGACCGCCATATGTAAAAGGCGACTATTCGAGGATAGAAGAGGACAATGTGGATGATACGGCCTAGGTAATTCAGCCCGGTAGGATACAGCACTCATATGAAGAGTCAACGTCGAATTTAAGCGTTCCGTCGATGTAGGATGCCAATCGCCGAATCTGAAAGTCAAACCTCATGGCAGATATCATGGCAGATCAGCGATCTCGACCATAATAAACAACGACCAGCCCATATCCTGGTGAGCATCTTTGCTATTGTAAGGCCGTTTCTCTAGCCTGATGCAAGCTGGTTCGAAACAAGTACCAGTACGCGCGAAGTTGAGCTCGCAGCGAAATTGGCGCATTGCTGTGCTGCGGAGCACACGTCGAGGGTGCCGCGATTACACCGCGGCGTGATGTATTTGATCTCAGACATGGCCTTGATAGTTGACAGTTCTGACGCCTGTCCCACGATTTTCTCAATCTTTTCAGTCCTGCAGGGTAGCTAACTCGGTGACAGCTTTCCAGCTTGGACCGCCATGCTTCTCAGCAATGATAATGCTTTCAATGTTTCCGTTCCCAAGTCCCTTGTTGGAGTCGTGGACATGTGGACACCCTGGCAACTCTGGGACAAATCGGATCTCTCCGTCGAGATCCTTTACCCTGATCTTCAAAAGCCACAGCTTTGAACACTGACTGAAGAACAGGTCGGCCGTCACGGGAGTCTGCTGAGCGGTCTGTGAAGGATAGTGGCATGAGCTGTGAGTCAAGTTCCCGTTCCCGGAATCGGCCACTCACAGATAAATGGATGAAGCCATCTTTTTTGTCCAAGTCCGACAGTGGAAGTGTATCAGGGAGCGGCTGCGCAGGAGCGGCGTCCAGGATCTTGTAGTAGTAGTTGTGCTCAGCCATTATTTTGATGGTATTTTTTGAGGTTGGAAGGTTCTCCCAATAAAGTATCGTTCAAGCGCTGCAGTGCTTGTCCTAATCGAGCGGAGCGACGGAGTGGCGGTCAAGAACAGCTTGCGTACGGAGTAAAAGTGTGGCCTAAGGTTTAGGGCACGTGATTGCGATTCGAGCTGTTGGCCAATCACAGCGCGCGCTCAATTTTGCGGGCAGGTTGCATGTCAGGTTGATGCCGTGGTCCCGACTCCCGACGACTCTTCTTGCACAACTTTCTCCGCCAGCCGGCCGCCGGTAAGTTACATATTAAGAACCAGATTTGAATTTCGGCTGCGCATGCTCCAAGGCGCCAATGCACCTTGCCGATTCCCTGCTCATGACCTTGACTAATCCCCTGAATCATTACTCAACAGGCAAATCCACCATCGCTATAATATTATGAGACAGCCGACAATAGTATCCTCGTGCTGCACGGGGTGTATTGGCCATCGATGGCAGTGAGGGGCCGATTAATGCCTTCCGCTCGCACCGGACTTTGCATGCAACATCCTCCTCTCCGCATGCCGTAGTACAACGAATACTGCAGTCTGATTGCTGTGACAGCGCCATTGCCAACGTCCGACCGACGGCCAAAATGACATGAGGTCCAGCCTTACACCAAACGCGTCTGACAGCGACGTGTTTCATCCCACGCGGACCGAACGTTACACACATCGACTCATGGCCAGCATAGCCTTGGAGCTACAGTGAAGGAAGCCTTAGCAAGGTCCAAGATTTCGTTAACTGCTCACGAAGCATTGGCTGGAACTCGGACTTAAACACGACGTTGTGCTCCCGCTGGCCGACGCGTTCTGCATTTCTTCATATCTTGCCCACGCAGGCACTGTACGCGCAGCCACTGTGCTAGCCAATCATCCAACGAAGCCGACCTCACTTGCTGCATTGCAGTGGAAATTGCAGCTGCAAGACAATCATTCGGCTGTCACAAGAGATTCTTACCAGGGAGCTTCTGCTTGGACGTCTGCAGCTTGCTGCTCTTGGATCTGGGGCGTGATCGAGCCTGTCGAACATCGGATCACTAGCTAGCAACAACCACTGTTACACCCGATAGCCGTGGTGTTGCCTGTCCTGAAACGATATGCCACACTCGACCAGAGGCTCAGCTGACTCTAATGCTTCGACACATTCACTGGAACACGTTGGCCTGATGCCGCAGACCTCGTCATCTCAAGCCGGTCTTGCCCTTGTGTTAAAGAACGCTCGCAGTCCTCAACCATCAAATCTCAAAGGGGAACGCAACAGTCTACCAGGAGGCGATGCATATGCGAGCCTCGTAAGCAAACCCGACATTGACGAGTTCTTGCAAAAGCATCTTGGAGACAAGGACAGCATGATTGCTGCATACAATAACTCGTCGCAGCAGCGGAAACAGTACTATGAGGAGCAATTCCAGTACAAGGACAACATCCAGGGAGGGGTCCGCGAGAGGGTACAGCGAGAGTCACCCGTCATTGCGGAATTACGCACCAATGTCATCGTAAGTCTGCCTATCTTTAAGCTGTGCAGCATGCATTGATACCTTTGCTGCAGATCAAAGACGAATTCACGCTTGTGACAGATCTGTCTTACCACCTAGCCGCACGCTATACAAGACCCGACTCTGCGATCATGGTCAAGGTGGACCATAGTGCCTGCTTAGCGATGGGAGGCACGTTTGATCCATGTTATATCCTCAGTGTTACGACTGTCCCAGCGCAGATGGGCCCAACAATGAACAAGAGAAATGCCGCATTGATCCAATCGTTCATGGCCGATATACTTAGCGTACCACCGGAGCGCGGTATCGTAAAATTTCAAGCAATTCCTGAAGAGTGCTTTGCAACAAATGGAACAACGGTAGCAGGCGAAATCGAGAGACAAGAGAAGCAGCAGTCGGGTGCCAATGACAGCACTATTCGACGAGCCATTACCAGCACAGGAAGGAAAAGCATACCGTCATTCAAAAAGAGCTTTGAAGCACGAAATGGAGAAAGCAAAGGAATACACAGCACGGATTCAAAAGCAGTGTCGGGCAAAGCACACGATAACGCTGTTGAACACGGCAGAGAAATCACGCCTCCAGCGCCATCATCGCGGGTGGAACTGTTTGAACTGCCTGCTGGCGACGCAGGAACGAAACGACCGGCCACTGCCCACGCTCAGTCATCGTCTAATGGATCGAATGGGCTTCGTATGAATGGGGTGTCAAGCAAAAATCTGAGTCCAAAAAATCCTGGCACGCCAAAGAGCAGACCTCGAACGCTTTCTGGCTCTTCGATTCAACAGCAGATCAAAGACAGCGCAAATGCTTTGGCCTCGGCACCGCCACCGCCCGCCCTTCGAAATACTTCAGTTCCGCCTTTGAAACGCAACCGACCGCCTTCCTTCCTCAAGGTCGATCCGGCTGCTTCAGCGCGTCCAACAACACCACGGCAGCGACAGACAGCATCTCCAGAAGATCGCGTTAGTCTACGAGATGGTACAGTTGACAGCGCTGTGGAAGTGCCGAATGCCGGAGATAGGAACGCCGAAAAGAAGGAGACGGATGGGCCAGACGCAAAGGACAAGCAGGGCAAGAAAGATCCTGCGGCGAACACTGCGAAGAGGCGCTCGACAATTACAGCCACTCCAAAGATTCCAGATCCACCCCCTACGCCCAGCATGAATGAAGACAGGAAGAGCACGAAGTCGATGAGAATTGGCAAACGGAAGAGCTTTCTGGCTGCTTTCAGGAGGAGTATTGCTACTCTGCCGCGGGATGAACGATGAAGAAAAGCAGATTGTAAAGCGGTCGCGCCACTTTTGCAGCTCTGTTGACCATAGTGACAACATAAAGATACCCAAAGCTACCCGCTAGAGATATGGAGCTATCGATACTGTAAAATCTCGTTCGCCCGTGCACCTCAATATTGCCACTTCGTCTGGCAATGTCACTTCTACTACGGTCTCAAAATTCCTACTGCTTGCCTGCGATGATTCGCAAGCTATCCGGCTGACTGCGTGGACTCTCACTCTTTGTATCCAGAGAGTGCCGACGAATATTGGAGGTCAGCTCATGATGATCCTTCTCTTCGTCCAGCCTGACTCCTCGCTTTGTACTGCTTCCAAAGGCGATGGTGTATAGAGCCAATGCCAAAAGCATGAGCTGCAGGATCAAGCTTGGGATGGTGGTGTAGAAAGCAAAACGCTAGAACTCATGTCAATGTTTTGTCCGCGCTATCAAGCCGGTCTGGCCGCTTACCGTTTCATGACATAAAGTGTCAAACTGTCTCGGGACATTCTCGTTGGCTACATCTCGCCACATACATGTCCAGGTCTGCAAAGTATCGCTTTCCGAGCCATTGTTCAAAGAAGCTGAAAAGGCTATGGCAATGATCGCCAAGATGGTGCTGAGGAGTGAGGTGGCAAAGACGAGAAGATTGGCCGGAAGCTTGGTTCGGGGTCAAAAACACAGCCATCTATGCGTACGTATCTCGAGGCTCGAGCTCGGGTCGGACTTACTGCTGCGATGAAGATTGCCGCCACAAGAAGGGCATTGAGAAGCACAATGACTGCCGATGTGCCTAGCAGAGCGGGCAGACCTCGCATGTCGAAATGTGATGCCCATACCGGGAGGAAGTAGACATTGTCGTATCGTTGTGTGAGATAGATGTTGAGAGATCGTCCTGCGCAAGCGATTATGGCTATGTTCAGCGCGAGCGATAGAGCTGCGACGGCAAGTGTTGGTATGCGGAGGCGAGAAGCCATGATGTCCAGCAGAGATTGTCAATGGAGGAAGGAACGCTGCGGTCTATGATATGGATAGATGTAGCTGAGATTGGGGTTGCACAAGCTCCTTCGCTTCTCCCATCTGGAGCGTCGTCTAGCCTAAGCAAGCATAGCTACAGCTTACAAGAGCGCGTAGGAGAAGTCGGTCTTGACTCTCTGAACGGGCGCTTAGCAGCGCTTGTGATGGAGCGGCCGTTGGCTGAGAGCCATGAAGCGCTCCTATGTACACTGCTCGCCTTCTATCTCAACCTGCTTCCTGGTTGGTGCGGAATGTGATATGTGAAACGAAAGCGCCGTCAGCGAGGGAAGAAGTAACGTTAGAGTGCGCGCTTCTACGCTTGCAGAGAGTCGTGATTGATTGGCGTGAGTTTGGCGCTTGAGTTCTGGGGTGAAGATCACGTGAATTCTAAGAATAGCTGTTATCATTGATTCCTGCTCGACCGCAAGAGATCCCAACCATATCACAGCAATGAGAGTATTCGCGAGCGTGCATCCCCTCGCTATTATGCCGGTGGAAACATCAATGCTGGACGAGAACCGGAATGGAGCGCGATAATCGAGGTCCGACCGAGAGCAAGAGCATGGAAAGACCATCCAGGAAATGGTGTCCAACAAGAGCCGGGCCAACCTATATATTAGAGCGTGGGCAAAGGAGCCTGAATTCGACTACCGGAATATCGCTACCCTCAGAAATTCGTTCCTTCGGAACACCTGGCAAAATCTCAGCGCTTCCCGTGTGCCCTCGACCAGATCCGCGATCGTGCCGCAGTGAAGGAGCCACAGACCAGACTCGAAGGAAGATCGGGCGGCAGTCCAAGGGAGGACGCTCTACGAGAACGGAGGCGATTGTGCCTGACTGCGTGCATCAGCTTTGCAAGAGTCCTCGGATGCCGTATCTCGCGCGCGGAGATCGACCACCAGCACTGAGCTGCGACTAACCCTTGCGGAAGGCCACTTCGAACAGCACGATTGTTAGCTATTTGTCTCGTCAGCATATCGTTCAGAAGTTCCGACAGTCTCAGTGGCTTGGTCATGCCATCCTGGATCCAGGAAAATGTTCGAGGCCTAGCTGCATCGCGTCATCACACCGTCGTTCTCCGATTTAACAATGTTGCCCATTCTCGATAATGCCTGGTGCTTACAAGGACACGAGGCGTCCATATTCCGTGCCTGCGTCTTGGCCAATCTGGACAATTCTTACCGGTGCATTTGCAATAGGCGCCGCGATGAGGCAAAATGCACGAATGAGCCCGCTCCATCATTGCCTCGTGGATGCTGAACATGCTTGACGGAGCGTGTCGGCAGTCGAAGTTGGACACTTGGATGCACAAGCTTCAGTCGAGCGCACGACCACTGCAAATCGTCATTTGAGGCACGTCGGTGTCATATTTTGTGCTGCTGGATTATGAGGTTGCCGATCTGCTGCTGGGGGGTAGGAGATGAGGGCCCAATGGGGCTCAGATACCGATGGACGAGCAGGTAGTGCGTGGGCCGCGCGTAGCCCAAGTGTTATGAAGTTGAGATTGATGATGATTGAGTAGAGGAGGAAGGCTAATTACAAAGGTAGGCCGTCGCCTTATTAGTCAGCTAGCCCCTGGACCGTTACTTCCTTGTTCCGTAATAGTCTGCCCTAAACAAAAGAAAAGGCACGCCCTCGTGCCGTTGCTCTAACTCTCTCGTCTTGTTGCCTAGATACTAATTATCTAGTAAGCTATCTACTGCTTAGGCTAGTCTCGTTGCCTAGATACTAATTATCTAGTAGGCCGTCTACTGCTTAGGTATAATTCTGTTCTTATTTCTGCTCGTATCTACTTAAAGGTATACTAATGCCTTAGCCTTCCTCTCTACAAATTCCGCTCGTTTCTTATTAGCCTTAGCTTCTATAGCTACCTCCTCGCGTTCTAACTAGGCCTAGACTTGCGCTCGTCGCGTTTCCTTCTTAGCTACTATCTATTAGTTAGTATATCGCTCTATAGATAGGTCGGTTAAGTCGGTCTATACTCCTATATAGCGGTAGAGTACCTATCCTTAGTTACTTCCGAATTTAGCGCTAAGGTCGTCCGTTAGCTAGGTAGCCTTAGTCGTTGCTACTAATAAACCTTCCTCTCTAGGCTTCTATTTAGGCGGGTTTAGATTGTTATTACCCCTATTATCGGTAGCCTTCCTAGTCGCGTAGCGGTTATCTCTATTTTCGAGTGCCTCGAAGTTAGCTAATAATACTCTAGGGTCTATAAAGTCCGCGAAGTGTTCGTCGTTAGCGACTATTTGCCTTACCCTATACTATCGCCTAACGAACGCAACTCGTATAGCCTTAGGGTCGTAACGTGCTATAAACTATTACTAGATAAGTTTCTATAATAGCTAGTTATACTCGGACTATAGCTTCTTCGTTAAGTTCTTAACCTTCTTAGGTACTCGCTTAGTGCTATTGTCGGCTATGTTTCTTTATATAACTAGGTCGATATTAAGTATCTCGTTTAGCGCTAGGTAGAGTATATTAACCTCGATGTCTCGTATTATATCTCTCTGCTCTCTAAGCATCTTATTACGTTTGTCCTTTTTCTTAGGCGATAGTTTAGCTAGCTTTGCCCTCGAAGTCCGATCCTTAGTAGGCTAAGCCGTTAGGGCTCTAGCTAGGGCTCTCTTCTTGTCTAACGACGTCGTCTCTATTATAGGCGATTCCTTTAGAGTAATAGGTATCGCCTTCTTAGCCTTCTTTATTAGCCGAGGAGTTAGCGTTACCTCGTCTTCGTCGACAAGTCGGCCCTTACCTTTATTCTTTTTCTTCTTAGTGCTAGATTTCGATAGCGTCTCCTTATTAGCGTTAAATAGCGTAAACGATAGATAGGCGTTAACTAGCGTCTATAAGATAGATTCTAGGTCGTTAATAGGCTCGTTATCTAGGATAGGCTCTATTAATACTGCTACTATGCTTCGGAATTAATTAGTCCTCTATTCCGCCGTTATATCGCTCTCTTACGGTTACGGTCTCTAAAAAAGGAAGAAAGTATTAGGCTCGTCGGAGTCGGGCTTATTAAGAAGGTTATAGGTATCGCTCTCGCAAGCCGGGCGATAGTCGTTAAGGTCGATATCCGAGAGGTTATTAAGAGCGCTATTACCTATAGAACCGTCCTTACCGTTACCCTCGCTAGCGTTGCCTAGCAAATTAGTAGCGGCAGTATCGTTAGTAGCGGCTATCTCGCCGTTAGCCTCGGTAGTATACGCGAGGAAATCGTTAGGTAGCGTCGTATCGTTAGTATTAGCCTTACTAGCGTCGGCGAGGTCGTTAGGCAAAGCTATATCGCGTATATTAGATATCTCGCGTAGTAGCGTCTCCTACTTTATATTGTATTCTATTGCTTTACGCTAGTAGAAACAGTATCGAATGTCGTAAGCAAGCTCTTATATTAGCGAGGGCAATATATTATATTCGCGGAAAGTTATTATTATAGTAAAGTTGCTATAGCGAAGTTGTTTTAAAATAAAGTAAACTTAGTATACGCGCAAACTTAGTATACGCGCTCCTGCCTATTATAGAAGTAAAGCGGACTACGTAGAAGCTACGCGATTAAAGGAAATGTATATACTATAAGTCTGTCCTATAATGTTCTGTTGCTATTCTAGCGGTAGCGACGATCGTAGGCCTTTACTATCGTTAGTAGAATGCCTTCTGTTCGTATCTACTTATTAGCTCTAGCTCCTGCGTTCTTCTATCTAACTAGATATTCTATAACCTCCTTCCTATGCCGACCGACTCGTCGGACTCGTCGGTCTCTTAGCGCTTCTATTTCTAGTAGAGCGTCTCCCTATTCGATACGCATCCTTAAGGGTTGCCTCGTTGCTCGCTTATACGGATCCTTAGTATTAGGGTACGGCTCGAGTTCCGTAATTAAGACTACTAGGTGTATCTTCTACGTCTTTAGCAGGTTAATCTAGTAGGCTAGTCCGGTGCTATAAC